CGGCTCAACCCTTAAGAGGAGTAAACCCACAACGAAACCCTAAAAAGAGTAAACCCAGAACGTAAGAGGAGTAAGCCCAGAACGAAACCCTAAAGAAGTAAACCCAGAACGAAACCCCAAAAGGAGTAGACGAAAACCCTACCCTAAGAGGGGTAAACCCAGAACGAAACCCTAAAAGAGTAAACCCAGAACGAAACCCGAATGAAAGAAGGCCCAACCCCTAAGAGGAGTAATCGGCCCAACCCCTAAGAGGAGTAAACCCAGAACGAAACCCTAAAAAGAGTAAACCCAGAACGTAAGAGGAGTAAACCCAGAACGAAACCTTAAAGGAGTAAACCCAGAACGAAACCCTAAAAGGAGTAGACGAAAACCCTAAGTGTCTAATCTGTCCGGGCTTGTCCTGGCTTGTCCGTTGTCCGGGCTTGTCCGGGCTTGTCCGGCTGTCCGGGCCCTTGTCGGGGCTTGTCCGGGCTTGTCCGGCTGTCCGGGCTGTCCCGGCTGTCCCGGCTTGTCCGGGCTTCTCCTGGCTTGCCGGGCTTGTCCGGCTGTCCGGGCCCTTGTCCGGGCTGTCCCGGGTCCCGGCTTGTCCGGGCTTGTCTGGGCAGTTTGGACTGTTTTGGGGGTCTGCGCGGAGCCCATACCTGACCCGCAAAGAGGGGGGGGGCGCAGATGATGGATTCGGGGGGGGCGCCCAGAACAAAACCCTAATGAAAGAAAGCCCAACCCCTTAAGAGGAGTAAACCCAGAACGAAACCCTAAAAGAGTAAACTAAAAGGAGTGCAGAACGAAACCTTAATGAAAGAAGGCCCAACCCCTAAGAGGGCTAAACCCAGAACGAAACCCTAATGAAAGAAGGCCCAACCCCTAAGAGGAGTAATCGACCCAACCCCTAAAAGGAGTAAACCCAGAACGAAACCCTAAAAAGAGAGGAGTAAACCCAGAACGAAACCCTAAATGTTGAAAGGAGTAAACCCAGAACAAAACCCTAATGAAAGAAAGCCCAACCCCTTAAGAGGAGTAAACCCAGAACGAAACCCTAAAAGAGTAAACTAAAAGGAGTGAACCCAGAACGAAACCCTAATGAAAGAAGGCCCAACCCCTAAGAGGAGTAAACCCAGAACCAAACCCTAAAAAAGTAAACCCAGAACGAAACCCTAATGAAAGAAGGCCCAACCCCTAAGAGGAGTAATCGGCCCAACCCCTAAGAGGAGTAAACCCAGAACGAAACCCTAAAAAGAGTAAACCCAGAACGTAAGAGGAGTAAGCCCAGAACGAAACCCTAAAGAAGTAAACCCAGAACGAAACCCCAAAAGGAGTAGACGAAAACCTTACCCTAAGAGGGGTAAACCCGGAACGAAACCCTAAAAGAGTAAACCCGGAACGAAACCCCAATGAAAGAAGGCCCAACCCCTAAGAGGAGTAATCGGCCCAAGAGGAGTAAACCTAGAACGAAACCCTAAAAAGAGTAAACCCAGAACGAAACCCTAAAAGGAGTAGACGAAAACCCTAAATGTCTAACCTGTCCGGGCTTGTCCTGGCTTGTCCGTTCTCCGGGCTTGTCCGGGCTTGTCCGGCTGTCCGGGCCCTTGTCCGGGCTGTCCCGGCTTGTCCGTTGCCCGGGCTTGTCCGGGCTTGTCCGGCTGTCCGGGCCCTTGTCCGGCTGTCCGGGCCCTTGTCCGGGCTGTCCGCCGGGCTTGTCCGGGCTTGCCGGGCTTGTCCGGCTGTCCGGGCCCTTGTCCGGGCTGTACCGGGTCCCGGCTTGTCCGGGCTTGTCCGGGCTTGTCTGCGCAGTTTGGACTGTTTTGGGGGTCTGCGCGGAGCCCATACCCGAACCGCAAAGAGGGGGGGGGGGGGCGCAGATGATGGATTCGGGG